ACTAACTGTGTGTTTTCCATTGTTAGTCCCTTCTCTGATTAGAGAGATCATTTTACCATGCAAATTCTGTCTTGGACGTTTGTGAATTGGGGATAAAATGTAAGATACAAATTTCATGAAATGATATACTTTTTGTAAAACGTCTGTCCCTTTCCTGAACTCTAGAGCTTGGTTGGGCAGTTGTAAGCATGGTTGTCTTCCATCAGGCTTTATATCCAAAAATTCAACAATCTGCAAGGGGAAATTGCTTGGTGGGGGGAGGAAGCTGATTGTCTAGTACACAACTACAGGCATCTCCCTTACTATCGGTCCTTAAAAAGTGAAATTATTTCCATAGCATTTAGAATATATATAATGTATGGTAAGCAATCTAGAGAACATTAAATTATTCAGGATACTTAGAGGATGTTTGTAAATATCATGCAGTTTCATATAACAGACATATATGTGGGAGTCTTGGAACAATTCTCAGCATATGCTAAGGGACAGTTGCCTCTATTATCTTCTACTAATTTGTATCCATTATTAGTCAGTCTAAAATACACAAAGGTAAGCAGAAGGAATAACTTGTAAGGAGAGAAGAATTTGAATCTGTTTTGAGTAAATACAGAGGAAAGCTCTAGAAATACAAGGTCATGGGATAAATAATTTAAAAGCAGATATATATCAGGGATTTTCTTTTATCATCATGATTATGAATGAATACTTGCCTATGAGGAGAAGCAGAGTCTGCGTTCCATAGACATCTGTAGGAGTTCAATTCTTGTAACCGTGTGTCATATTACAACTCTCTAGGTGGATTTCTATAAGAGAAGTGATGGGATTAGGTGGGTTAAAAGCAAAGATACTTTTGCTTGATTCAAGAAAAACAAGCCTTCCAGTTTCATCAGCAATTACCTTCAGCAAATAATTCTTTAGCTCTATTTAAATACAAATAATAGAAATACCCATGTTTCTATTGTTGTGTGATAATAAGTTAATGTTAGAGGTATGCACATATTCTCTTGGTGAGAAAGCTTGATCCCTGGTAAGGATTTATTTCTAAAGGCAGACAAATATAAGGAACACATCTTTTTAGATTTACTTTTATTTTTTTAATTTTTTTAAATTTATTTTATATAACAAAGTCCATTTAAATGAAAACAAACATTTATAGACAATATTTGGGAATTTGGGCATTGTTCTTTCCAAACTACTTCCTGCTGGTAAGGGGCGCTGTCATGGGAGATTCGAAGAAGATTCAGAAATCTTGGCTGTAGTCTGTAAGGCTGCTTTGTCCAGCTGTTTTGAATGTAGGATCACCTCGATTTACTTTTAAAATCCATTTTGCATTCTAACCACAGCTCTCTCTTCCACTCCTTCTCCTGTACTCCTTTTCCTCAACCCTAATACTCCATCCACTCCTGCCAAAAGGTAAAGCCTCCTATGGGGAATCAAAATGTCTAGCGCATTAAGGTGGGGTCAGAACAAGCGCCTATCCCAAGCATTAAGACTGAGCAAAGCATCCCATTAATAGGGAATAGTCTGAAATAAGCTAGCTCATGCACCAGGGATAGATTTTGGTCCTACTGCCCCTCAGACAGTCCAATCAAAAAACGTATTCTTTGGACTATCTGAAGGGATACATCTTATGTGGCAAGATACTTGAGATTTATAAAATCTGAAAACAGTTTGATATTAGGAACGTTTCTCAATCTGGCAGAGAGGAGCCTATAATTTTTAATTTTTGAAAGAAAAAACATTCACAAAATGAAAATTGAAATTGAACCCTGAGGTATCAAAATAAAACCTAAAGAGCTTCCAACATAATTTCCCCCTTTGATATATGCTTGATTTCTGTTAAAAAGACCCTCACTATCATTAAATTATCTTCAAATTAGAAACAATTCTCTATTTATAAATACAAACCACAAGTAGTTATGAAATTTCTTCATGCTATACTGACAAACCACTGAATCTATGGTTCTTGAATTTAGTTTTGGTTTTACCCAGCTCTGTCACCCACTGTTCTCCTCTCACAGACTTGCCCTTTTCTCCAGTTGCCTCTCCTCTCTTCTCATGTCCCAGAGATTCCCATTTCCTATTTTTTCACCTATCTCCTTCTTCACTCACCTTCACTCACTTCTTCACCTCTCACAATCCCCTTTATATTCTTCTCCTTTCATGGTTACTTTTCTCCTTCATGACAACACACACGCACACACACCAAAATTTTATGTCTAAGTTTCGTGTATGAGAGAAGTCATACTAGTTTCTGTTTGTGATTATGGCTTATTTTGTTTCGTTTCCCAATGCCCACAGCTGAAAAAAAAATTGCATGTTAGATACCATGTATATTCGCTATGCACTAATTTATCGATAGACATCTAAACTGTCTCTCTTTCCTAATCTTATAAATAGTACAGCTACAAACATATGTGAAAGTATTTCTTTAGTACGACTTGGGGTCCTTCAAATCAGATAGTAGAACTGGGTCATTTAGTCATTCAATTATCAGTTTCTTGAGGAAATGCCATTCTGATTTTCACAATGGCTTTTTAAGTTTACATTCCTACCACCTTTGTATAAGATTTCTTTTTCCCCATATCATGGCCAGCATCAGTTTTGTCTCACAGGTATTGGCTACTGAGGTATGGAAATTTAATTGTAATACAATAATCATTCCTTTGCTGTAATGTTATGATTTAAACATGGGAAACAAGTCTCTGTCAATGTTTGACCTTGATGAATTCTTTTTGATAATTTTCCTGGGCATATCATGTACCGACTCTTGAATTTTAGTCACCTCTTCTGCAAGGATGTCAATAAAGTTTTTAAGAAAAGAAAATGTTAATTTAAAAGAGTACGATAAAAATGCTCCTGCCTTTGTAATACTCTGTAACACTCCATCAAACAAATATTGCCACCAATGTACTTCTTGAGAGGATAATCATCTTGAGTGAGGAATTAAACTGTCCTTTATTATAATTCTAAACTAAATGAAGAATTTTGTTCTGTCTACATTATTTTTCTTCTGAAATAGTCAGATGTTCTACAGGTAACTTTGTACTCTTATATAACATGACATATTCAAATATGCAAGCTCTAGTTCTGTGCCCTGAACTCAACAATCCTTAAGTAACAGACACATCTTGACAATGTCATTACATTAATGACAATGCTGTTCATAGTTGCATAAAACTCACTTCTGCTAATAATATAAAAATATAAAATGAATATTGATATGCTAGTAATTTTGTTGGCAAAGGTCTTTTTCTTTACTCAAAATAGTTCAAATCAATGCTTTATTTTACCCAACATACTTTCATTGTGTAGTGAAATGGCATGTATTTTTAAAAAAATGAGATTATTGTAGAATTTTAAAAGTGATAGCAACATTTTAGTTATATTCTCATCATACAAAAAGAATATTTTATTAATTTTATTCTCTTTATTGTTCAGGCATATTATGTGAGAAATGCCACAATTTTATGGGGATACACTAGGGTTTATTACGTTAGACCACATGCATCTAGCAAGAACAAAATAGTTTATCAGATTTATAAAATAATACTAAGTAATTCATGTAGCTATATACTAAGTGGTAATAACCACTAAAACATCTCAAATAATGTAGACTTGGTAGGAACTCACAATTCTATGGGACTTATGCCATGCTTAATTTCATTGTAACAGGTTAAATCAGGTATAGACGATGATTGACTTGTCTGAGCTCATATCATGTTAGTCAAATTTCTTCAATTGACAAATAAAACCAGTAGCAGATTTACACAAAATAAATTCATGTGATTTTGGGCCCTTGAGTAATCACACAATACATAAGCCCTGGATAGAGGTAGCATAGTGCCTTTTAAATCAGAGGTCTCCTAATTAGAAAAGAAGTTAGAGTATCTGCCCCAGGTACCTGAGCATTAACTGGAGAAGGAGCTAGTGATGTTAGATCTGGACTTCCAATTCTCAAACAGCATGAACATTAGTCTAAGCCCTTATAGGAAAGGAAATTTCTCATATTTTGTTTGTTCCATTGGTAATAGTGCATACTGAGAGCTGATACCTTGTTTGTGGTCATGAATGCATCTCTGAAATACTCTGAGTGATGAACCCAAATTACTAATTTTCCAGATATGTAGAAATCTAGTCTAGTTGAGAGCTGAATTTAATCAATCTAGTGATGACAAAATCTATCAGCCTAACAGCTTGTCTTGCGAGTCAGAGTGAAGAAATTCCCTCTCTACTTTTGTAAAGCAGGCTTGAAAGAATGTGAGTCCCTTCTACCACAAGTGTTGACTTTTAATACAACCTTCACATACATGAAATAACTAGAAGAGCCTGGGATCAAGCCATTAAGCACCTTTCTTCTATAGTTCCCGCCTCTGAATCTACCTGAGTTCTGTACATGTTGAACTGTGATCAGGATGTAAAAAGCCAAATAAAGGCTTTCTTTCCCAAGTTGATTTTCATTAATTGTTTATCAAATGGTAATCAAACTAAGACGACCCTGCCTCAGGTGAATAAGAGAGAATTATAGGCATTTGACATGGATATTCTTATTTCTAGGCCACAAATATGAATCCAAGCACTCTTCCACACATGCACCCACACATACACATGCATATTTATGTATGTGTATATACACATGCATCCTGATGCAACACACAATGCTTTTATACTAAGAAATAAAATAATTTGCTTACTGCTGAAGTGGATATATATATGTGCATGCACACTACCACAGACCTCCACACACTCATATTGAGACTGCTAAATTGCCTGGTATATATCTCCTAGATAAGAATTTTGTGGATTTTTGTCCTTTGGAAGAGAGAGAATAAAACGGTGTGTGGCAGGAGGTGGAAGTATTTGGGAGTAAATAAACGTATGGGGAAAACCTGATCAAAATGTACTTAATGAATGTACAAAATGAAAATTAATTAACTAATTAATTAACCAAGAATGTAGTGCTCTCTGGTCATACATTACACCACTCCATTACTTTCCAGGTAAACCAGTGATGATAGTGACAGAGTATATGGAGAATGGCTCCTTGGACACATTTTTAAAGGTGAGATTTGGTTTTATTTTAACTATCTATTGCCACATGTATTTTGCCCATGGACTGATATTAAAATTGAGTAACCTTAATGGTAAAATTTTAAATGCATCCAGAATAAGTTAGTCAGCACCATAATCTTCCACAATATACAGATATTTAAAAAAATATGTTTTTCAGAAAACTTAAACAAGTCAAATTACATTTGATTTTATTATTTTGTTAAAGTAATTTTATTAAAGTAAATGCTTATTTTAAATAGAATGAAAATAGAGATGAATTTAAGAAAGAAATAGAGGAAGGTAAAGAAGAAAGAAAATGAAGGAGAAGTTATGCAAATATTAAAAAGTATGAAACATTCTTAGTTATCCTCTGACAGTTTCATACATGTATATGGTTTTTTACATTATGCACCCACATTGCCTTCTCTTAACCTTCTTTCTATTCTACTGAACATTTTCTTCTTACCAGCAAGTTCTGTTCCTAATTTTTTGTCTCATGTGTGAATTTGACCACTGGGTTCAATTAGTATAGTTTGAAAAAGGAGAGGAAGCAAGCCACTTGCTGGATCATGAACGACTTTCTGGGGGACAACTGTACTGAAGAGAACAGGTCTCCCTTTTCCCACTATCATTCATGGCCTCAGGGAGGGAAGAGGGTTTGTTAAGCCCCTCCCTCATCCTTGTTAGAATATTGAATGATTCCTCATTGTGTGGAATCTGTTCAGATAGCCACAACCATAGTGAGTTTGTTAATGCTGTGCCCAGTCCCATCCCATGTCCAAAAGACAGCATCCCATGGCTCTACTTGTCATCCATCAACTCTTACATTCGTTTTTGCCCTTCTTTCATTGTGTTCCTTGTCCTGGATGAGGTGATATAGTTATATGCATATTTTTTGTATGTGGATTAATGGACAAAGATAAATGTATCTAAAATACCCGTGCAGATAATTAGGGAAGCCATCAATAAACTTCATGTTCTCTCTAAGGAAGGTCAGCAGAAAAGTCATCAACCCAATAATATAGCCAGTATTATCAGGTGTTCTTGGTTTGGGGAATAAATGAATTCTATGCATGTATACCAGCCAGTTTTAAATATTGACAACTTGTTTTACTTGTAAAAAGTTTGTGTAATATAATGTAACATTTTCATATATAAATAAGCAGTTATAAAGTCAACATAATGAGTGTTGCTTCTGATGAGAAAAGGTGCTGTTATGAAATTGATGACAACTTTGAAAGGAGCCTGGGAAGGGATTGTAGTAGTGTTCCATTGCTATGTAGTTTCTGTTTTAATTACTAACCTGTACCAATACACCAGCCTATTGCCAGTTTACTTCTCTGCATTTATTGTGTTTACAGTCTCTTAGAGTTGTATCATCACTTTATTCAAAATAAATCAAGATATTAGTTAAGGTTTATGAGTTCATTTAACTTTATTACATTTAGTGTCTTTGACAAAAACAACATGCTTCCAAGAACTGTTGATGTGTTCCCATCCAGTGCTCAGTAATCATCCCTGCTCTCGTCCACCAGCAGAAACTCCTCTGTTTCCTCAGGCTATTTCATGTTTACACCAGTATTTCTATTTAGATATTTTCTTTTAAATTACCTCAAAGTATATTCAGTGTTAGCCAAGCTTGGCACTAAGTTGGAGAAATGGTAAAATTCCTTTGATGTATGACAATAAAGAAGCTACAATTAATGCGAAGGCAAGGCAACAGCATGGGATTATTTTAAATGACACATACTACTTTTATTAGTCTATAATATGACGTACAATGCAGTATACAAAATTGTACATACCATGTACTTAGAATGATTAATCAAAGAGTTTATATGAAAGAGGTATGTTCACACATGAGTAGTCAAAGAACAGCATATAGAAAAAGAAGTAATTAAAAGTAATACTATTAGTGTATAACAAAATACAACTATGGATAGCCCATGTTTTCTTCTTTACATACTATTTTATAAATTTTAAATATGGACTTATTACTTGTATTATTTGGAAAAAATGAATTTATTTAAAATCATTAGTGGCACCCAATCTCTAGCACTATGAGACACATAATGTAAACTGAGCACAATTGAATGGATTAGGACAAACCATTGAAAGCATCAGTTGGAAAATAGATGCACAAAGAGCTCTATGAGTTCAAATTCTACATAGAGAAGTAACTAATGTATATATATATATATATATATATATATATATAATCTATTAATTAATGGTAATTTCGTATGAACAAAACATAAATCCTCATAATTTAAGTTTTCATGTTAATGATTGATGTTACAGAGACACATACTATCCGAGATATTATAAAGATCCAAAATGTATGCCTCTTAAATAAAAGACACAGTGATGTAATTTTTGAGTGTCTTCTTTATGGCAATTTTAATAATTATTTCTGCCTCATGCTCATTAATAATAAAGAATTAAATATCAAGTTCTTGTCAAAACTTTAATCAATTGTTTCATAAACAAACCATCCACAGCCTCTTTTTGACTATTAGGTATGAAGAAGGGGCACTGCCAGTAATGTTTGGCTACCTTATGGCTATGTGCATTTTTTTTCTACTTGAAGTTATTTTCCCATTACATACAACTCCATATAGGAAATGTATTATGCCTTTGCCTTAATCATATATTTCTACACAACTACATTACATCATATTGGGACATGTTAAAATGTATGTTATACAACTATGTTAAAACCTATTGAGGGTATTATTTCCCAAAATATATTAACATAATGGTATAATTTCTACACATTTTGGTCAACAGCTCTGTTCAAAAGATAATTAAAATATTGTTTATTTTATTTTTTGATGGTTTCAAATATTTATATAAATTTAGTCTTTTATACATAGGAGCATTTTATATTCCCTCTTTTTTCTTCCACTGAAATCTCCTAACTGGCTGACTGTTTTGCCTGTGTACATGCCTGTGTGTTTTTGTGTGCTGCATGAGATTTTTGAGTGTCTTTGAAAATCTTTGACCTGATCAAAAGTTTGTGGTTTTTAATACTTTCCATCCACCTTGAGTAGAAACTGCATTTTCTTTTTGAAAAGTGCTAATAGTAATTTGAAAAACGTAAGAAGGCTTTTTCCAAATCCTCCTCCTGTGAATCATATGTCTGGTAAAAGTTTGCACTGTCTTTGCAGAAAAACGACGGGCAGTTCACTGTGATTCAGCTTGTCGGCATGCTGAGAGGTATCGCTGCAGGAATGAAGTACCTTTCTGACATGGGCTACGTGCACAGAGACCTTGCTGCTAGAAACATCTTAATCAACAGTAACCTTGTGTGCAAAGTGTCTGACTTTGGACTTTCTAGAATACTGGAAGATGATCCCGAGGCAGCCTACACCACAAGGGTAAGATCTAACAGAATGCATTTCTCACACAGTAGACTAGAGACATTTAATTTTTAAAGATGTTAAAAGAAGTAACAAAAAGGACATTCCTCCAATAAAGCCAATAGGATACCAAGAAAACATGAGAGAAAAAATAGAAAATTCAAATCTATAACTTTTTAGTACCAGCAAATTCAAAAATTATAAACTGAGATAACAAAAGTATATACCTCTGTACTCTCAGTAATTTATTTATTTTTCTTAATGATACTGAGCTGACTAGATTTATGTCAACTTAAAAAAAAAAAAAAAGGTAGAGTCACTGGAATGAAAGGAGTCTCAACTAGGAAAATAACTACATGAGATTGGTTTTACGCAAGCAGTCTGGCATTTTTAAGACTAGTGATCCTTAGGAGACCCCCAGACAATTATGAGTAGGGCCATCCCTGGACTGTTGGTCCTGGGTTCTATAGAAATCAGGCTGAGTAACACATGTGGAACTAACCAGTAACCAGCACCTCTCCAGGGTCTCTGCATCAACTCCTGCCCCTAGGATGTAGATGCATCACTGAATTCCAATTCCTGCCCTGATTTTTTTCAATGATGCACATTGTAAGCTAAAAATCCCATTCCTCTCCAGGTTGCTTTGGTCTTAGTGTTTTATTACAACAATAGTAACCCTAATTAAAACAGATACCAAGAACAAAAATTCTGAGTTCCTAAAGAATGGAATGGGTATGGGTTATAACATATTTAAGAATGCAAGAAGAGTGAAAAAAGATATATTAAAATATGTATATTATGTGGTGCAGTGTATGTGAAAAAATGAGTAGGCTTGTATGCACAATAAATGCATTATTGTGAAATTTAACTTATTTTTATAATATTGTCTTTGATTGTAAAATAAATAGCATTTTGTTCTTCATTTCAAGAGTTTAAGTTGCAGAAATGACAAACCACATTTTTTTTCTAAAGTTTTGATTTTCTGGAGATATTGAAATGCTTCTCTGCTTGATTTACAAATTAATCCTAAGTTTATGGAAAACTGGTTATTACTTATACTGTAATAAATATACATGTGTCATGAATATACATCTTACATAAAATTAGTTTTTATCCTGAAATAATACAATGTGAAATTAGCTGCGGAGAATGGTGATTACTGTCATTGAAGGAATTTGGGAGCAGACTATTTGCTTTATATTTTTCATATTTAATTGATTTTAATTTGAATTAAGATTCAAATTCTTAATGGAATTATTAAAAAACTTTTAATAAATGTGTGGGATATTCTAAATAATTTCAGTATTATTAACCTGGATATCCTCAATTTTAAAATCATTTAAGGACATGGGGATTTATTGTATGTTCCTTTGCTACAAAATGAACAACTTTGTTGCAATATAGAATAATAATTTGATTCTTAAATTGCAATTACATATCTCCTTATTAAATTCTACTATACAATTGCTTAAAGTCTAATAAACAGTTCATTACTATATTATCAAGTTACATTGCTCCATGTTGACTACTCTGTGGCAAATGGATTTGAACCATTATGCAAAGCAAGAGTAATTTGTTTAAGCAAAGTCTTCCATAGGTCATCTCATTTATATCACTGAATTAAATGATGAAATGTTTCTATTCTACAACATTTATTTTCATTAAACATTATTTAATGTCATTATTTTCATTAAAGAAAATCTCAATTAAGATTTCTTCTGGTGTTAGGATTGCACTTAATAAATTTAGCCTAAGCAGCATTGAGGCTATGGTAAGTTGACTGCTGCTATGATGGGTGGCTGTCTTAGGTAAGTGACAAGTAGGTTTTCCTAGGCCCTTTGGTTAGGGTTGCACTTAATAAATTTAGCCTAAGCAGCATTGAGGCTATGGTAAGTTGACTGCTGCTATGATGGGTGGCTGTCTTAGGTAAGTGACAAGTAGGTTTTCCTAGGCCCTTTGGCACTGTGTCATGCTACCAAACTAGTAGAAGAGCCAGAGATGCTGGCTTTCAAAACCTTCTTCTCTAAATGGGGTATGGAAGCAGTTTGTAGAAAATGTTTGTAATGAGAACTAATCAGGTAAGAGAGCCTCACAAGTTAGTGATACATGCATTGTTCTGGTAAACAGAATGATTCAGAAATGAAACTCAGCAGAGTCAATGAACTACAATTCAGAAAAGACAATTTAATCCCATGTTAAAGAACAAAATAATTCTCCTCCCATCCCATCACTCAGAATATTTAGATAATTGGATTGCTAGGAGCCATAAGTTCAAGGCCAGCCTGAGCTACAGAGCAAGATTCTGTTAGAAAAAATAAAAGCAGTAAAATGATATGACAGACTTTGAAGACTCCCCATGGTAGTCTGCTCCTGCGCAGCATAAAGATGATGTGATAGAGGTTGGTGGGGGGAAGACGGAGAAGCAGAGGGTAAGGGAACTATGGTTTAGATACAAAACATGCTTGCTTCAATTTTAAATAATAATATTTTTTTTTAAAAAAAGAGCACTTACTATTCTTGTAAAAAACTTGAGTTAGGTTCCTAGCAGTCTATCAGACAGCTTAAACAACCTATACCTATAGCACCAGAAGATCTACACATATCTGCACTCATATGCACCCCACCAACATGTACACATAACTAAAAATAAAAATAAGTCTAAATACAAGTGAAAAGGAACAAAATAAAACATGCATATTACAACTCTTTTTGATGCAATATTTTATATGTATTTATTAAGCAAAACAATATCCTAAATCTTTCCAGCTATATTATATGTGTGCATGGGTTTCTATGTGTATAAAAAGATTATGCCTAAATTTTATCCCTTCCCATTTTCAAATCATGACATGAAACTTATTTTTTTCATATATCATTAAAGCTTCCTTTTCATGATAATTTGTCTCTTTTTCTCAAATGCTATTTTTTCATTATTCTTTTATATAAAAAAAGGTAGGAAGCAGTTCTCTTAATAAGAAAAATCTGTCTCTCAATATATATAAGAAAGTACATGGAAAATAACTGTAGAATGTGATTTTTTTTTCTAAGTCCCTCAAAATCTTTTGATTAGTTCAGTAAAACAATAGCATGTATTTGTTTCAACATACTAACAGAACACAAAATATGTCATTAAGCTGGGGTGGAGTGTTTATCAAGCCTTAAAGAAATAAAACAATGTTGAGGGTAAATCCCTTTTGGTCTTCAGCATGTAGAATTTCCCTTCTTGTCTTATAAACTGTTAAACATCCCTGGTTACATTCAACAGAATAAACATTCCACTTATAATTCTGTACTTAAACAACAACAACAACAACAACAAAAAGAAAGCATGCACAATATTTGAGTCATTTCCTTTTACAAAGCTGAGTGTACACCTTATTGATGTGCTGTGTGCCTCCCTCCTTTAATAACTGCTGCCTACCTGAGCACTATAATTGAGATGTAGGTCCTGTTTGCTTTCCAAGAGTCTAACAGAATTTATAGCAGAAATCTTCCCGACAGCCAATTAGCTGTTAGTCTACAAGTGCTCATGGACTGGGAGATGTGAAAAGAGACTGCATGCTGTCAAACAGATTTACTTTAAAATGTTACATCTCTTTGTAATTCTTCCCAAAGAAGTTTCAGTACCCCTAGATATCCTTGAAATATGCCAGAATATACATATAAGAATATATATATATATATATATATATATATATATATATATATATGTTTTCCATTTTAGGGAGGCAAAATTCCAATCAGATGGACTGCCCCAGAAGCAATAGCCTTTCGGAAGTTCACCTCTGCCAGTGATGTCTGGAGCTATGGAATCGTAATGTGGGAAGTTGTGTCTTATGGAGAGAGACCCTACTGGGAGATGACCAATCAGGATGTAAGTACAGAGATACTCTTTTTGTCTTAAAGCAAGAATGAAATGCTTTGTTCTCTGAGTCCAAACTCTTACAATGTTTAAAATTGTGGAAATAATAGTTACTTGGAAAATATAAAATACTTTGTTTACATTTTGGTACATTAGTTGTTATGGAAATAATCTTTTAGCAAGAGCTAAAAGTGAGTTGAGGTAAATTAACATAAGTTAAATTTAGGGAATTACTTGCCAAGTAGGTTTAGCTGTTCCTCATAGTGTTGTTCCACTCAGTTTATATCAGTATTTTTCTCAAAGATAATGAAGGAGCAACCATCTAAGAATAAATGCCGAAATGCTAGTCTTTAAGATATAAGATGATTTATATAGCATTTATAAATAGGTAGATAGGAATATTCTCCTAACAACAAAAATGCCATTAATGTTTAAAATTACTTAATTCTAAGAGGCAAGGACCATTAAAGAATTTTCTTTACAAATTCAAGAGCTTTTGTTATAATGCCTAGGACAGAACTGTGATCTTCACTTAGATCATTTTCCAAAAGCACAGTTTTGCTCGAGGCATTCCATTGTGCTATTACCTCTCAGAATTTTTCTCTAGTAGCATCAGCAGATTATATCCAAGAGTTGCCATCTCCCCTCTGTATTCACCTGCAAGTACTATACATGATCTATTTTGTATCTTACTCACTTGGCTTAAGAACGCTAGTATTGACTTATACTTCTCTACAACTGTAAGAACAGAGGGTCTATTATCTTCAAACTTGAGCATTAACAGATCAAACTATATAAAATTGTCACTTAATTTCTGAAGTATGTATATGTGTCTATACATGCAATTAATATCTTAAATATTTTTAAGGTTGTATTTATGTATGTATAGTTAAATAGTACATTAAGAGATGTCATTATTTGTCTTTTATGGTGGAGAACTGGAGCTCAGTGATTTTCTTAGTCACAAAATAATACCATTGAGAGTAAACATATCAAACCCTTTCTCATACATTTAAAAATACATGATTTATTGCAATTGCTATGATACATAGCAATTGAATTATTATTTATTTTTGCTTTTATGTCCCAACCATATCAGTCTTTTAAATGAATGAGTCATGAAATGTTCAATTCAATAGACAGTGATTATTCTGGATTACACAAGGCTGAAGGTAAGCCCTGTTTTCTAGCTTCTTTTTCACATAAATACCAGATGCTTGCACCAGATTTGTAATAGCACAGTATTGCTTTTATTTTTTTTATCAAGCTTCATTTTTCCTGTTGTAACAAATCCCCCAAATGGCAATCCTTAGAATTTATCTGTTTCATTCAACAGAAATATTATTTCCTCACTTGCCAACCTCCAGAGCTAGTTTCTCCCCAACCCTGTGGTATTTTGTGTTCTGATCTATTAGACTTTCCTAACTATGCAATGGATTGCTCTATTAATACTTATCAAGTATTGGCTATTGAATCAATTACAGTTAAAACTGTAACAAGTCACACTTAAAATTGTAGTAAGGGAAGACATAAAACAAACAAGAAGCCTCTGAAGGTAAATGAATATTGTCTAGTGCTTCTATTGAAATTGTATAAGCTTGACTTTAGTTCAGACAAGGAGTCTGTACTAGTGTAGTTTCACTCATCCCCACAAGTCTTTCATCTTCCACCTAAGCCTAGCAGGCTAGCCAAAAGCTGATGTTATTTGCTGAATTTACTCTTTTTTGTTTGTTTGTATTTCTTTTTCATTTTTTCCTTCAACATGACACATGCTAGAATCACCTGAGGACCTGAGGACAGGGAACACTACCTTTTTAAAAATGAATTGCTTCTGTAAGATTGGCCTTTAGTCACGACTGTCAAAATACAACATTAGGCAGACAGTGGATGAGAAACAGAGGCTTATAGAGAGAGTTTATGTGGAAGGTCAGAGGCACTGTGCCGGGTTCCGAGGGGATAGGGCCAGGTCTGCCTAGATTATTACAAGGACTGTGGAACATTTTCCTAATTAGTAATTGGTATGGGTGGGTCCAGCAGATTGTGGGTGGTGGCAGTCCTAGGAATGTGGTCCTGGAGTCTGTAAGAAAACAGTCTGAGAAAGCCATGAAGAGTAAGAGGGTAAGGAGTATTCTTCCAGGGCTACTACAGTCCCTGAATCCAGGTTCCTGGTTGAGTTCCTGTCTTGACATCCCTTGCTAATGAACTATAGACTTTTCTCTGAATTAGAGCTTTTGGGAGTTTTTTTTTTTTTTCCTGACATTTCCTTTTTGCCATTCTGTGTCATTATAACAATAGCAACCTACAACCTTGCCAACACCATGAGTGTAAAAGCAAGCTTTATTGCACCTTAATTGGCAACCTGTGTGCTAAAGTCCAACTGGCTAATCACAGAGTTAACGAGTAAATCCATACTAGTTCTTTGTGTGTGTGGACACTATACTTGTATGGGGTAAGACACAGGCACAGAGAATTTAACCATTCTCTGATATGAGTAGTTTTCCCTGCCAGTCTGGTCCCAGAGACGCACCAGCCCCAAATAACACACAGAGACCCTGTATTTGATAAAAAAGCAGTTGGCTAATTACTAATTTCTTATCGGCTATCTCTGTCTTAAATAATAACCCATTTCTATTAATGTAAGTACTTCCACATGGTCTTATCTTACAGGAGAAAGGGACCGGCATCCTACCCTGTAGGTCCTCCATCTTGGAACACAAACTACTTCCTCTCTCCTCCTAGTCTCCTAGTCCTGCCTATCTTGCTTTCCTATTGGCCAACAGTGCTTTATTCATTAACCAATACGAGAAACATATTTACATAATGACATCTCCCATCAATTCTCATGTCCATGTTGAGATCTATATCTATTGGTATCTCGTATATTAATTCTTTATCATTCTACTCTTTTGTTTTCTAATTCTCTTTGTTTGGTGGTTAATAACTTACTTGGAATTGTTGCATCATTTAATGTTTCTGTTGCTAACTGCTCTTTGTCTTTTTTTAATCATTAGTTTTTATTCCCTTTCAGTTTATTTCCTAATTGGATTCACTTCAGGGGCTTCATCCTTTCTAGAAAATGCCTCAATAAAATTAAAGAAAGAAAATGTCAGTTTTGTATCTTCAATGTATCTTCAAGTATATGAAGCTTACAACAAATGATCACCTAATCACAAATCTTTCTGGAAAGTGCCCTCCAGTATAATGTAGAGTCCATGTTGTTATTTTTTGGGCTTTTAGTCATCAGTGACATTTAATTTCTGAATACTACACTAAGTATGTTATGCCTCAACTTCTAACTAAATTTGATGTGAACAAAAGCAAAGCATACTAAGTAAATTTAATAACCACTGACTTTCTTTGACAAAAGGAACAATCACAGAATGAAGTTACATTGCTGATTCCATGGTTTTAAAAGTTAGATATATATTTTTTATATGATCTGACCCTGAAATGCATTTTGTTATCATGAGATGTAACCTTATCATTCATAGAGCATACTCTAAATCTCATAGAGGAGACTTTGCTCTATGTCAGGGAGACAGAATTCAATAAACTTCTTTTGATTCAGGATTGCTTCTGCCATTACAGAAAAAAGTTGTCACAATAAACAATGAAAATAATTATGAATGAGTCAGATGAGATTAGAGAAATATGAGATCATGAACTCTAAGTGTTAATATCCTTAGTTAATAGAAGCTCTTTTGTTAGTAGAGAACATTGTAAATGTCAACACTTTTCAGGATACAAAATAAAAAAAACACATTAAATGTTTTATTACATAACATGTATATACTTAGAGATAGTGTCATTCTCTGGTATTTATTGCTGAATATATGGATACACATATTCCACTGAGTATATAAATTCAAAAATGTTTCAGTCACAGTATTAATCTGGTCACTTTCCTGTGTAATTTATTTTGTCTTTTCTTAGGTAGCTCATTTTCTATTAATTTTATTATGAATTCTGTAAGTGATAATCACATAGATTTATTACTACTTGTTACAATTTCCTTAAAAGGTCACAGGAATATTAGGCTTTAAATTACATCAACCTATTTTGTAATGGGTGCACTTCTATTACCAATCCTATGCTTCTTTCAATTTTTGTCATGCATAGTTTTTGTGCATATATATGCACGTATATGTGATACAACAGATTCTATAAATCACAGTAAAAAAAAAACTTGCTGCTGCATTCTGTATTGTCATTGCACAATATTTTATGTAAAATAGCATATGCTTTAACTACTTTTCTATTGTTATAAAACACCATGATGAGGGCAACTTATAAATGAAAGAATTTAATTGGCATTCTAATTTCATAGTGTTAAGTGTTCATCCTGGCTGAGCAGCATGGTAGCAACACACTGACTGGAACAGAAGCTGACAGCTTACATCTTAAAGCACAAATAGGAATCAAAAATGCACAGTGGGAATGGTATGAGTCTTTTGCAGCCTTAAAGCCTTTCCTAAGCCCCCAGTGACACTTCCTCCTTTAAAATAAAAAAGCCAGTTACATGCTTCCAATATACACTGGTACAGAATAGACATTACCAACCAAAAGGGGATAAATGGAGACATATGGCGGAAACAACCTACCAGGGGAGAACCAAAGTATAGCAGAACAAATTCCAAATCCTGTAGCACCATACCTACTGTCAAAGTATGTAGATGACTCTACATTTGCAGCTTTATTGAATGAGAGATGCATCACTTTGTCTGGTTCCACTCTTTGTGTTGGATTTCCTTGTCCAGTTGTCTAGTGGCTCTGGCACGTCCAACAACAAAAGCTCTCCAGTAAAATTCAGGCTTCATTTTTGCAGCTTTATGTTATGGCCTGTAAGGCCTTTAGACATCTCAGAACATTCCTGTTATGACTGCCTTGCCACACATCGCCTGGCGCCAATGGTCTCTGATGAGGAAGATTCATTTACCTGTTTCTTTCATGACTCAGTGTCTAGAACTATGTAGACAACACTGTCAACTTTGGCTACAAATGTGGGGTGTATG